GTTAAAACATGGAATCAGCAGCCTATAAAAACCCCAAAAAACCACTCTCAAGAGTGGGAAAAAAGGGGAAAATTGCCTGCTTTAAAAGAAGAGGTTGTGTAAACAAGGAGATATTGCAATCACCAATATTGCTTCCTGTATTGTACATGTATACCATACCACCAACTGTACCATTACCATGCAAAGGTTGTTAAAAGTATCCATTGCCACTGTGGTTTAAAAACAGACATTGCAACCATACCATCCACCATGTGACTATACTGTGAAATGTTCTCCATTGATTCAAGGTGCCAGATCCAACCACAATCAAATCATCCAGTTTCATAGATCTTTTAGAGTATACATCCCTGTTGCCATGATGCCATGGTAGAGTATCACCCCTGTTGCCATGGTACTATTCAACCCAAGGTCCTCTTTCAAACTCGCTCTATATTCCATATTACAATTATAATTCTTGTATGTCACAACCAATGCCAGCCATTCTAATATCCAAGCATGCCATGACTGCTTCAAAGCTGTCTTCCACATCAATCTATTGCAGAGTATTCTGTTCCATATCAGCATTGCAATTAGGTGCCATCATCATATTATTGCCATTATAGTGTCCTTCTATCCCATGCATTGCCAGACAGTGTGCATATATACCTGAATTGTCTGCCTTTGGTGTATTATCTACCATACTACAGACCATGTCATCCACTGCCAGGATTCTTGTACTGTACCATGCACAATGCCAGAGATGGTCGTCCTGTACCTGTGTGCTGTATTGTACTTTGCATTTCTATAGAGCTTTAGGTCATTTACTCCAATATAGATCGATTTATTGATAAACAATTGTTTCTCAGACGATCAATTGTAAAATAAATGCCCCAAAGCTTCACAGAAATACAAAGTAAAATTCATTACACTTGTACGTGGACAGTACTAGGAAGTCCATTACCAGAGGGATTCTTGCTATCTGGGCTTGTACCAAGTGCCATTATAGTGCATCATCTGTTCTCCCCTAGATGTCTTGCCATGTCAACATTGCTCTAAGATTCCATCCATGCCATTCTATTGTAGATTGCCTTCCTGAACCATTTCAACATTGCAATAATGAGCCATCCTTGTATTGTCATTCTAGACAGAAGTAAAAATCCAGTTTATGTTCCAGTAGTTTGTAGGCGAAAGAAGATGGCCTCCCAACTCCCCTTCTAGCCATCCCATACCACCCCTAGGTGAGAAGTAGCCAGATGCTGTCTTGAGGTATTGGAATAAAAGGAAAGTGTTTTTGTGCAAACTAGCGATCAGGAGCCCAAGTATAGTACTACCATATTGTCCATTACCAGAGGTTCTTGTGATGTACCATACCATGCCAGAGGTGGTCGTCCTGTACTTGTGTAATGTATTTTGCTTTGCATTTCCATCAATTTTCAGGTCTTTTTCACTTTAATATTGAACGATTTATTGATAAACATTAGTTCATCAGACGCTCGCCATTAAAGCAAATGCCCCAAACCTTCACAGAGATACAGAGTAAAATTCATTACACTTGTACGTGGACAGAACTAAACCAGGACATCCATTGCCAGAGGGATTCTTGCTGTCTGGGCTTGTACCAAGTGCCATTATAGTANGACAGAACATCTACCAGAACAAAATTGGCAGTAAAAGTACCCTGTATAACCTTAAACTGAAATGCAAAAATGACCAAAAAAGTAATCACACCATTTACGGAAAAGAGGAACTCTTCTGGAAAATCTCAGAGAGTTCCTCAGTTCCAACAAAGGGTGACAATAGTTATGGTAGATGCTTTTCACTACAAATTTGGTTTTAAAAAAAGTCATTTGTTACTCAAAATGCAAAGCCTTAAAGGAAAAAGCCAATCAAAAATTTTGAAAGTTCAGGGGGGAGAGAGCCCAGAAAAATTTCACACCTTGCATGCGTTGTCCAAACACATGCTCATCTTCTTCATCTGTCCTTGAGTTGTTGAGGAAATTATTGAGAGATGGCCTTTTGTTTGGTCTAGAGGAAGAAACTAAATGTTAACTCATGACACAAACAATAATATCTAGACCCTTAGTGTGTAAACAGGACAGACCAGGAATGAAATTACTCTTCTTCATATTGTGTTCATATTGTACAACAATTGAAAAGGTTTAAAAACAATATATTTTATATATAAGGGGTCGTCCTCAAAGCCCCTCCCCTAGAGTGAGTCTTCAGTAAAAATTTTCATATCTTGTTACCTGCTACCTATACTCCTCATGTATTGTAGCTGAGAAATTACAATATTTGGTGAGCAAGTAACTTAACAGAGACCAAAATTAACTGAATAATGTGATTATTTTAATGAAATAACTGAATGACAAAGTCTCAAAAAAAGACTAAAAAGAAAAAAAAAAGGAATTCGGTAAAAAGAAACAATAATCTCAAATATTAAGGCAAACGCAAATAAGAAGTTAAAGAATGAATTTCCAAATAAATAAATAGTCGAATCTAATTTTGAAAAAAAACCTTGGACTCGAATCTAATTTTGAAAAAAAACCTTGGACTCCTTTCCCCTCCTTTCCCCTCCCCTCAGAGCAAAGTTTTACCAAGAACGGAATGCCAAAAATTTGGCGCCAAAAATTCACATGAAGAATTATGTAGAAATTTTGTTCGCGACATGAAAATGCTTTGTAAATTGTTTAAGAATTGCGCTTTTAAACCTTTTGCCATGGAGGAAAACTCAAAAACTATTTAGAATTCATAAATAGTTTGGCGACTTTACGTCAGTGCGTACCTTGTCTTTATGAATGGGTTTCCGAAGAATGATTCAACAACGCTTTTTTCCTGGAATTCTTTAGTTATTTCCGATTCAAAACAGCTAAAGATTTACTCCTGTAGATAAAAAAGAGAAGAGCTCATTTAGTTTAAAACAGGGCTTTGAACGGCGGGAACTTTGTTCTTCAATATAAACTCGGCAACATTTTTGCAGATAAAAAGTTACAAAATTCGATATTCATTCGACGGAACAGCACAAGATTGGTAAATAATGTATTAAAGTAATAAAAAAGGATTTAAACTATGGTTTTTACCTGACTTTCTCGCGTTTTAGGAACGGCTTTGAAAGCCCGCCATGTGACTGAAGTCGGAGGCAACCCTTCTTTTTTCCGATAAATTGGAGTCGAAATCTCCTCTATTCTTTCATTATGAGTAAATGGTGGTCATAATCCTTGGCCTGTGAAGTATCAAGAAGAAAAATGAATGATTTTGTTCMTATTTTTAAAAGAACAACTGCAAACTCTTACCGAAAGTCACCCTTCTTCCTCTGCGTCTTGGCGCCAAGTGAGGAATGCGAAGCTGGAAGCCATGCTAAGCCTTGCTAGTGCAATTCCCACGTGCATTTCCATGGTGACAGCCAATCCTGAAATACCATGAAATTAACCACTTTTTTAAAACCAATCACTGGCTAAGCTTTTGGAAATCAATTTTTTATTGACAGRAAGTCCCGCCTTTGATTGACAGCAGAATTTCGCGCGTTTTCGTTTTTGATTGATTAATATTCATAATGTATTTGTTCAGCCTATTTTTGAAATAATTTTCCTCTTATTAATTGCACTTAACCTTTCCTTCTTCCTTTGTTCTCTTTGCGTTATATTTTTGTCTTTTTTTAAATGCAAGAAATTATTCTCTTTCACAACCGGATGTGCAATAAATAACCAGGCGTTACTTGCCGATCCTCGGTCGACTTCCGTAAAATAATCGTCACATTAATTTATTCCGAACTTTGCCGAAACACGTGGCGAAAAAATCACGACCATTACATTGCAAGACATATTGCAAAATTTCGAGGATAATTCCTTAATAAGGGCAATTTATGATGTCTTCACATGTTATTCGCAATCCGGGATTTCCTTTAAACYTAACGTGGGTCGAAAATTCACGGGTAAATCTCCCAGCAGTGAAACGACGAGCGGACACGTTAAAAACACGAAGATCCATCAAAAAGCAATGGCAGGCTGCATGGCTACTCCGTGCAGTTACTTGYATTGATCTAACAACTCTTGCWGGCGACGATACAATGACTAATGTGAGTCGCTTGTGCTTCAAAGCGCAGAATCCAATCCGCAAAGACTTGCTCATAAGCATGGGAATGGCAGACGAAAAAGTGACAACAGGGGCTGTGTGTGTTTATTTATCGAGAGTAGACGATGCTGTTCACACTCTTAAAAACCTTGGATCTAAGATCCCTGTTGCTTCTGTTGCAGCTGGTTTTCCAGCAGGTAAGCTTATRTGTTTGCACGTACATTAAGTGTACTTCTAGTGATTGATTTTCGATGTACAATTGTACTATATAGTAGGGGTGGGGTGGGGCTAGTTTTGTGCACCCCATTGTCCATCTGTGGGTGAATACGTATTGTTTCAATTATAGGTCAAACTCCGATGAAACAAAGGATCCAAGAAATAGAAGCAGCCGTCACTGCTGGAGCTACAGAAATCGACATCGTGATAACAAGGGCCCATGTTTTGTCTGGTAACTGGCAGGCTTTATATGAAGAAGTGCTTGCGATGCGAAAAGCATGTGGCGACGCCCATCTGAAGACCATTCTAGCTACTGGTGAATGTGGTTCCCTTACAAATGTATACAAAGCAAGTCTAGTTTCCATGATGGCAGGATCAGACTTTATTAAAACATCTACTGGGAAAGAATCTGTAAATGCAACATTCCCTGTTGCCTTGGTGATGGTTAGAGCTATCAGAGATTATTATCAGGTATTGGCATTGTTCTGTACTTTGACTAGATATTATTTACATGGTGCATATTTATGTGTAACAGATAAACCAAAGTATAGCGATACTCGATGTGATGTAAGCTTTTTGTTATTCATGTGCCAACCAGAAGATGATTGGCTGTTAGAACAAAGCAGCTTGTGAAAAACCATTCTGATCATGGTTGGCACATTAATATAAGAATGAGTTTGTTGATAAACATTTTCACACTTTAACATAAGCAGAAACCAAAACAAAAGCTGGCTCACAATATGATTGAGAAGTTACTCGTCACTAATATTATAATTGTTTAATCATTGCCTTATTATGTAATGATAGTTAATCATTTTAGGGACAACCTGTATTAGTGACGTATTTGATTGGTTACTGTTCTATTATACAGTCCTCGGTCATTATCTCATTGCAGAGAGCAGCACAACAAGTATATAACTTATTGTCTGTTTGATGTCAATGTAGCGCACAGGTCATAAAGTTGGCTTTAAACCTGCTGGAGGAATTCGCAGTGCTAAAGATGCCCTAACATGGTTGGCACTAATGAAGGAGGAGCTAGGTGACGCTTGGACCCACCCAAATCTGTTCCGTATTGGTGCTAGCTCTTTACTTGGTGATATTGAAAGACAACTATTCCACCATGTAACAGGAAGGTAAGAAAAATAATAATATAAAACAGTACCAAAGGTTTTGTACAAATTTTCAGTATTGACAGTACTCTGAATGTTGAACTCAACTGTGGGGTACTGCATTACTATGTTCTGTATCTATTCTTGATGTTTCTCAGCTTACCTACCTTGGAAAATTGTAGCTTTAACAGTGTTTCTTAGTTTAGAGTGAAGTAATAATAATAATAATAATAATATAATAATAATATGTGGTACTTATATAGCGCCGATATCTTCTGAGTTCATAGGCGCTTCACATGTATAGATCATTTTACACGGACCGCTGTTTAAGGCGCAATTGGCAGCCACGCGGCTTACAATCATGAGGGGTTAGTAATTAGTATGGGTTAGTAGTAAGGCCTAGTCATTACACCTGTGAAACAATATTTGACTGTAAGGTGATATTGAATTAGCCACTAAAGAAAACAATGCAATTAGAGTGTACTAAGGTGTATATGTGTAGATCAATTGGAGCACATTGTATTGATGCCAGGCCTGGGGGAAGCATGTGTGATAATACTGGGGTATATAATATAGTGTTTTAAAATTACAATGTTAATTTTTTTAATTCTTTATTTTCAGATATGCTGCTGCTCATGAGCTTCCWATGGCCTAATGATTTTAGTCATTTTACTTTTGTAAACTTTATTTATGGCTGCATATACAATATTACTCTTCGATGCCTTGTCAGGGCCTGGGGATCTCAATAATTGAGGTGAAATATTTTATGGGATCTGAGGCAATAACTCATGCCTGTAAATGTTATTCATTATAATAAAACAATCAATAAAAGAGTTATTTTACAATTATTAGTTGAGAAGACTGTTTTACAGTACTGATTTGTGCAAAGATCATATCCAGGTACGTTTATTATCGGCGCGCGGGGGCGATGTTTATTATCGGCGGGGGGAGGGCTGGTGCCTCAGAGAGGGGAGGGTCATTAGTCAAATTTATGCACCCTTAGTGCATCTCTCCTTAAGAAAATCTGGTTTACATGTAAGAGAGAAACAGGGAACCCAAATATCTTTCCGGCATTTCTATTTCCGGTTTATTATCTGATCTACTTCCGGTTTTCTTGAGTGAGCACTCGGACTCCATCAAGGCATAGTCAATAGAGGGGTATCGAGTTCTCAATTCACTAGTCATGGTATCAGAGAAGGTTCTTGTAGTTGTCGCTGATGTGGTAGGATGGGGGTATTTCGTAGCATGGACGATATCGTTTCTACCGCAAATCTATGAAAACTTTCGGCGAAGGAGCGCAGTTGGGCTTTCATTCGACATGGTAGCCTATTTCATGCTCAGCTATATAACATATGGTATCTACAACAGTGTGGTGTACTTCGATGTCGACATTCAAGAACAAATAATAGGCCAAACCAAACAATCAAATCCCGTTAAACTTTGTGATTTTATTTTCGCGGCGTTTGCGTTTTTATGCCAAACAATCCAATGTATACAATGTATCGTATTCGAACGGGGGTCGCAAAAAGTTCACATCTCGACGACTCTGGTTTGCATTCTTGCTCTGTTCGCCTTGGTCGTTTTGTCCATCGTGGCTTACTTTAAGCTTGTTACTTGGCTTTTAGTACTGAATTATTGTGGCTATGTCAAAATGGTTGTTTCATTTGGAACTGTAAGTAATTTGATGTATTTTGAAAGCGAGTTGTGAAAGATAACATGCTGTGTCGCTATAAACACAAAACCGGTTATTCCCCTTTAATTCATTTAGGACACTGATCGATCGATATTTTAGTTGAACAGCCATCGAACAGATCCAGCGTGTTTCTTTAATTAATAAGTAACGATTCTAGATGCTTTGTGCAAATATGTTATCGATTATACTTAATATTGCACAACTTTTCACAGCACATGGTCCATGAAATGTACATGACGCAGGCACCCATGACGCAATTATCTTTAGACATTGGGGACCGAGGGGGGTGGAGAGGGGGGAGTTGAAGAGTGGATCAAGTTACTATCAAGAAATATTGTTAGGTTATGATTTTTAATTGATCATGGAGAGATTATTATATATTTTTAACTCCAATGGATCAATAAATTTTGTCAAAATAAGAATAGTTTTGTTCATGTGGGTGGGGGAGTTTCTTTTTCTTTATGAGGGGGAAGGGGGAGTCAGACTTCTTTAGCCACTAGGGTAAATGTTTTTGTTCCTCCAAACAAAGCTGGTATTTCTATAATGACTTCCATCTCCTTATAGTAATATCTTACTATTTCTTTAGTATCTCCCKCAAATATGGCTCAACTACAAKCGAAAGTGCACAGAGGGCTACCACATTGGAGGGGTGCTRTTGGACTTTACCGGTGGTGTACTAAGTCTTTTACAGATGGATATATACWGCTTCATTGAGCATAGTAACAAACAGTTCACTGGTAATATACCTAAAATGGCCCTGGCTATTGTTACCCTGGTATTCAATATCATTCTGATAACACAACATTATGTGCTATACATGGGCAATAGGATTCCTGAAGTACGTCATAAGCAGTCTGATGCTGAGAAGTGTCCTCTAGTAGACAGTAGTGAACACAAAAACAATTACAGTTCTGTTAATGCAGAAGAGAGGGATTTTASTAATGTTGAGGTAAGAATAGAGGAATATTTATAAGATTATTATTATTGTTGTTGTGTGTCATTAAACTTTTATTGCACTTATTGCTGTACAGCCATCCAAAAAGTGTTGATGTTTACTTTTGTTTGGTTAAAAAAAAACAATGTCAACATTTTTAATTAAATGCAGTCCGTTGCTAATAGCACATTAGCAACTTTTGTCTTGGCTGATTAATTATGCTGCAATATGCAAAAAAAGCCTGCAATGTGCTCACACAAACACAGTGCACTTGCTAGGGCTTTGTTCCATGATATTCTACAGGGAGGGTGTAAGCTATCTGAGGAGGGTCTACACCTTGGGAAGCGTATTCAGGCAATTGAGCATTTAGCCTACACTAATGTTATTCAACATTAATGTTTTAAAGGCACATAAGTGCACCTGGTAGGGTACTTAAAAAAACCTCTGGTAATAACTGAACTGTGTATTGATGGGATACTTGTTTTCTAAGATTAAKATTCAGTGTTGGGATAAAGGATCAGACTTTGGAGTCAAAGGGAATCAAAATGGGGGTCAGAGCCAATCAGAGATAATGGGATTATTCAAAAGATGTGATTAAAATGATCAAATTKTAATTAAAATGTGTGTGTTTTATCCACAGGTACCACCTCAACAAGTTGCCAATGTTTAAAGCATAAAAATGGCAAYAGCAATAATTGCAATGTAATATTCTAATTTGTGTTGTGGATCTTCAAGATGTCATCGCAGGGAGGATGGGGGATAGGTTGGGAATAATGTTGTATAAGGGGATGATTTATATATAATAATAATCCATCCTACATGTGTACAAAATCAATAATTATTTTTTCTGAAAAAAGTTTAATACCAAAAGTACTATTTAATAAACAAACTTAATCAGAAATGTTGTCATACTCTCATTATATTTAAAGATCATGGCTAGAATAAGTGTGGTAGTCTACAGTTATTATGAAGTATATCCAGATACAGTAATGATACAAAATATTTATGAGGTGACCAAATATGGTCATGATGTAAAACTCCGAGTGAATATTAATGACGTATGGGAACAGGTGCATTTGCTGTTTTTTTTTTTTATTCAGGAAATATCACAATAGACGATAAGGCACGTTTGTTTCTGAATTTGTTGAAGTCAGAGTAACAGCGTTTCAAAGAAACTGAAAGCCTTTTCCTCGATCATAAACAACTACTTAGAAAAACCGAAAATTACTCTAGCTGGGATGTACATATATGGAAACGTGGAAGAATATTCCCGTAACGAGAAATGGAGAAATARAACAGAAAAACGTTTCGAGGATTTGGCGTTAAAAAGAGCGTTAACTGCTTGGAAAGAAGACGTTATTTCTGAACGGCAACCGTCTTTACAAAGACAAACAATGAGRTCATTGARTATGAAAGARAGCTTCCTTAAAGRATTACGTACAGAGACYCCAGATGTACAGTATARATATTATCCGTCGCCYGAATTCAAGCCGGGGAATTTCTATGTGTTTCCTAGCGACATAAGTCCACGAAGCTACACTCGCGAAAAAAGAATGCCACATCTCCCGCAAATGGYATCTCCAAGAAACCAACTTTGCATTAAAATGAGGCGGAGGATTTTYTGTGAAGTATTACATGAAGAGAAACTGTGTTTAGATTGTAACAGTCGYAAAGTGAGGTCGAATTTTAACGACGAAGTCAACAAGGAATTTCCTTAYTTGGAATACGACCGGTTAAAACGACCMTACGGGTTTTGTCCCCGGGCTATCCGACTCACCGAGCCATTGCCAGTACAGGGCAAGCAGATTTCATGGCATAAAAACTGTGATTGCGCAAG